CAGACCACGTTTTGGTTATTAGTAGTGTGTCTCTCCTTTGTAATTTATAATCCTCTTGTTTCTTCTTCCTTATCACAATTTCCTATTGAGCTATAATTTATGTACTAGTTAAAATTCAGAGTATTAATTTTTTAAACCACCTTCCCTGTCCTTGGGGAGGAAGGCCTTTGGTTGATGTTGATGGCAGGTGCTCTTGTCTGTCTGGCTCAGGATGCATGTCTTCCTGCTGTGCAGTGAAGGTGGGCACAGGGGAATAAGGCATGTGGCAAACACTGTCAGTCTCTTGGGGCAAAAGTATATTAGGGAGCGTTTGCTGCCTCAGTGTGGGGTGATGACACTGAGATCCTCCAGAACCAGAGCCACACATATGTTGTATAATTTGGAGGAGGGAGAAGGACCCGTAAGATGCTCCTCAGGCAGCTCTACCCTAGTCCTTCTGCCTCTTCTAGAAGAAAGGAGTGAGCCAGCTACTTGAGAGGGCTGGGAAAGTGAGGGCTGGCATTTGTTTATTCCTTTGCCTTGGGTCATTAATCCCAACACCATGTACCTTATTGTAGAAGGGAGATATTGAACTTTCTATAAGAAAATGGCCTTATATTTATTTAATCTTGGACAAGGATTCCAGTTGAAGCTTGTCAGAATTTAATTTCTGATACCTATGAGTAATCAGGAGCCTGATTAATCCTAAAAATAGGATGGAGGAAACAAAGGATATTTTTCTCGCCTGTTCAGCTGATTGCCCAAGTTCCTAAGTTCTGGAGTTTTGAGTACTTCCTCTAGATTATTCTCTGCCCTTTCTGTCCAAAGCCTGCTCCTCTTTATTACTTCACTGTTCCTTCCCTACAAGCTCTTGGGTTTGTCATGGGTCTTCACACTCCAGGCCTCTTGTAAGCTGCTATGTGTGGTGGTGGGAAGAGGAGGGACAAGAGTCCATTCCATAGACTGGCCTCAGGGTGCATTATATTTAAAACCTAGTGAGACTTTTTACATTGTGAAGCATGACCTGCTTGTTCTTGTTCGCCTATATTCCTTTGGAGTGCTTGAGCTATCCAGCTTTGAGAAAAGGCTTCTAGAATAAACATCTCAGAAGGGAGTGGGGGGTTGGAGTTGAAGAAAAGCCCAAGTCATCATAGTCCATTCCGGCAATAAGTATTAACTGCATTTTTGAGGACCAAGACATAATGTACAAAGAAACAACCCTTGACACTTCTAAACTTCTCTTAGAATATGGAGAAAAGAATAGTTGGCTTATGCTGTTTCCACCACCATACCTCTGCACCACCTTAGCAGTGATCCCAGCTAGTAATATGGACTTTCTCTGTGGTAGGTGGAGGTTGATGGTAAATAGTGGTGAAACTGGTAGACCCGGTCTTCACTTTTCTCCAGCTCCCACTTGCTGATGCCTGAGTTATGAGAGTGTATAACCCTAAAGATGCCAGGAACCTGAATTTCTTGTCCCTGTTGTAGCAAAGACCTGGCTAGTGAGGGGTCCTTGGCTATATCACCAAAGCTATCTCTAGGTGTTTACCCACCTGACTTTCTTCCTGTCTTTATAACTTTGATCTTTTCATTTCTTTTATTCTTCATGAGTGTGTGTGTATGTGTGTGTATGTGTGCACATGCACATGCATGCACTGGGAATTGAACCCAGGACGTCATGTGTGCTAAGCATGTGCTCTACAACTGAGCTACACTCCCTGCCCCCTCTCACTTTATACTTACCCTCTCTGCCTGCCTACTTACCTACACTTTGGCCATCTCTAAAGATGGATTATGTTTCATTTTACCTTTTAGACATCCACTATTGACCACAAGCTTTATTGTTCACTGAACAAACTCTGTTAGGGTCAGCTGAGTAGATGTCACACATTGGCTTGTGGAATTGGCTTACTCAGGATACCTATTAAAGGCATCTATACTTTCTTTTTGTTCAGTACCAGGAGGCTCTAACTTCTTAAAAGATTAAAAAACATTGAATAAAAAGAAAATCCCTGAATTCTACCATGGTAACTCAGGTATCATTTTCCTTAATGTTTTATATTTAAGATTCAGTCTGGTTTTTGACCTGAATATTTCTCTGTGCTTCTTCATAAACTGAATTGGCTACAAGATAGCCAGGTTCTCTCTGTTTCAAAGGAGATGGAAAATACTTGGTAGAACAAGTTGGCCAGTCTTTCTGGTTGCTGTCCAGAAGCAAATTGACCCAGTTTTTAAAACTGTCATCTGTTCTCTGAAGTGTTTTCTGTTAATGGTGGTTTATGAAGGATGTGTGTATATTATTCATGGGCAGAAGCTCATGTTTATTTTTCACTTGTGGTCTTTTTACATCCTTTAATTCCATAGTGTCTTGAAACGAAATCACTTCTTGTCCAGGTGTACTGCTTATTACAGCATGACTAGGAAGAATATTTTTACCTTCCTCTATCTGGTTAGGAAAACTACTCCTCTAATTAACATCACCACTAAATGAGAGCATTAATATAAATGTCCACTGTAGAGTTTTGAGTACTACATAGCTGGATGATATTCTTAATATTTTAAAAAAGATTTACTACCCTGATATTCAAAGATTTTCATTTTTTACAAAAACCCCAAGGATATTCAGAAGTAACTGAATTTTTAAAAAATCCTATGTTAAGACTGTGCCATCCTAGGCTCTGTGAGAGCAAAGAAAAAAAAGTAGTCATAATATTTTTTAGGAACTTTCTATGTGTCTAATATTTCCCTCAAAGAAACTTTAGCCTTCTGGCTAGATTGTATAATGACATATATGACAATGACATAAGGACAAGGTACAGGGAGAGGTCCATAATGAATTTAGTGTCCATTGTGTGCCTGAGTTTTGAGGGAACCCAGACTTTGTCATGGTTAGAGCTGGCACAGGAGAGGGTCCTCAGAGCAGCTGTGCTACGGACCCCTCATCTGCTTGTTATCTTCTTCTTGTGGCCACTTTCCTGTGTTAATGCCATTATAAATGTTCTGATAACATTGTGACAGTAGGCATCTCCACGAGGCATGGGGACAACCTTTCCCATTAAGTGCTAGGCTGTAGTTTGCTTAATTTTTTTTCAGTCATTTTTAAGTTGATGAGAATTAGACACTGAATATTCTTAACTTTGAAGCCTTGATTACCCAGGGTTCTGTACACATGGAGATGTTTGGATGCACTTATGCTGAAAAATCAGAATTCCAGGATCTCTCCTTGTATGTCATTGTTAAAATATGTTATTGCTCTGACTGAATGTGCCATTTTCTTTGGAATCTTTTGTCTACAGTGATTTGCAGCTAGCCTTCTGATTTATAAAAAAGTTATATTATGTTCCAGAATAGTAATGTAGGAATTTATCTCTTAAAAATATAATTGCAAAGGCAAGAAAAAGGAAAGAAGGGAAAGGAAAAAATTGAAGAAAAGGAGGAAAAAATGGAAACAATGCTTATGTATATAGGGACGGGGGGAGGGCAGGGGAATGGGAAAAAATAAGCAAGATATATCATGTATATATTATGTACAGGTACAAATTCCCAATGATGAATGTTATTGTACCTAAAATGTACCAATAATCTCTCCCCCCCCCATATATATATAATTGCAAAATCATTGTCTCAGCAGTGAAAGACCTGGACTCATTGAGCAAATCACTCAGAGTTAAAGGTGATCGTGGTTGGCTGGTGGGATTAGGAGTACCTTTTCTTTGTCATATTGAATCTATTCTATATTGTTGCTGTTAAATAATACATTTGTACTGTTTAAAAGCACTGCAGTTCCAGTTAAACCTCCAATTCCACTTTTCACTGGAAGCTTCTTAAATATAAATTCTTCCTAGATGCAACCTGAAAAACTAATGCACTGGTCAGGTAATAAGGAACCTTACAATGCTTTGTTCTCCTCTCAGATCTACCCTGTAAACATCTTTCAAAGAAAAAGGCTACAAGGCCGGGGATTTAGCTCAGTGGTTTTGCCGCCTGCTGTGCAAGCGCAAGGACCTGAGTTCAATCCCCAATACCACAAAAAAAAGAAAAAGAAAAAGGCTACAAATCTATTTAAGTGGTTGGAGACATTTTATTTTATTTTATTTTTTAATTTGACAAATTGAGAACTTTGGAACCATACTATAAACTGCTTTTTAAGTGGATTAAAAACCTTATGTAAAGAACTAACAACATGAATAAAAACACAGACCATATTCTATTTTGGCAGTGTTGGATTATGTAGTTCATTTGGCCCATAGAAAACTGACCTCCTGAATTCCACAATGGCATACTGCCTTCCAAAGTTCTGTGGAAGGTCCTACTTACCAATTCCTGGCAGTGACACAGGCTGCAGCCTATGCCTATTTTTTTGTTTCTTGTGGGCAGCAGGGAAAGGATCTCAGGTCTGGTACACAGTGGGGCTGCTAATGTGATAGTTTCTGGCCCCTTTTAAGGAAATCATAGTCTGAATTAGAAGCTTATAAGTCATTGGCCTCTCTAGCTTACTGATCACTAAATCCTCATAACCAGCCCATGGTAAGTACTCAAAAAATAGTTATTGAATCAATGAGTCTTGTCCCTGTGAATCTGCAGTCACTCTAAGCATTTAATATCTAGCTTTTTCTTGGTCACTGGCATGCCCAGTACCCAGAGGCATGCCTTATGGCTCCTGATATGACTATACAGAGCTTCACTATCCAATGTAGTAACCACTAACTGCATCGGCTATTTAAATTTAATTCCCATTAAATATTTAGCCCTCAGTTTGTACTAGCTACTTTCTAGTTTGAGCTTTGCTTAGAAAAGGCAAGGAATTAGCATGTGAGCAGCACCACTGTGTGCCAACTTCACTGCCTTACCCTGTTCTCCAGCTGTGCAGCTGAGAGCCTAACAATGCCCCCCCTCGCCAGTGGTCACCAAGTTGGACAGTAAAGAACATGAAACATTGCAGTCATGGCAGAATGTTCTGTGTCATAGGACTGCTCAGACCCTTCCTGAGTACCAGCTGATGGATTTCTTTGTGTTCACAGTGCAGCTGCCTGCTTCAGGAAGTGAGGGCTCCAGGAACGAGAATCTTTAAGAGCTGCCTCACATTGTGTTGTGTCTGGTCCCTTGGTCCCATCCCTACAGCATGAACAAGGTAAGAGGTGCTTTGGATCAGCACTTGTGTTTTTTCCTTATGGTACTGTGGTGGGCACATTCCTTTTTCCATGCTGTGAGGAGGCTGATTCTCCTTCTGGAAAGCATTTCAGAGGTTGGAGAATTGTATGATCCCTGTGAGCAGTGTTTCAGGCAAGGTTGCAAGAGCTGGTGGCCATGCCATGGCTGTATAGCCCTCTGGAAATAATCACTTGTATTTTCCAAGGCCTCTGGGTGGCAGGAAGATTGACTGGTGGGGGCTTAATTTCTGTTTTCACATCTGTAAAATGCTAGTAATAGTGGTACTGACCTCACAACGTTGTTGTAAGGATGAAATGAGTTACAGTAATGGATGTACTAGTGTTAATACAGGCCTGCCCACATTACTAGCACTTGGTAAATATTTGCTGCTGTTGTTTTTGATTTTGAGACACTTGCGTCCCTCAGACATAGTTTCTAAGAGTTTAAACAGCTCTGGTTGATTTGGTGAGGAGTAACTGATTATCAGATGGACACTCTGGAGATAAATGATGAAGAAGGCTTGAGTGAAGCCTTTAACAAGTGATAGGCTATTTTGGGTTATTGTGACTAGTGTTCTGAGGCATGTACCTCATTTCATCTGGAAACACAGAAGAAGTAACATCTAACTCTGGGATCTAGAAGGGCAAGATAGAAGTGACATTTGGAGTTGAACCCTGGATGGGAAGTGGTAATTTTCTGGACGGAGAAGTTGGGACAAGGCACTCTAGGTAAAGGAAGCAGCTTGTATTCTGGTGCAAAAGCATATAAGAAAATCTGCCGAAGAGTTTCATATGGGTAGAACAGGGGTTTCTCAACCATGACACCTGCATTACAGGTTTTTTAGTAGTAGCCCCTTCCCCTACATTCTAGTCCTAACAAAATATCTTCAGATATTGTCAAATTTCCCTTGGCAGAATCACACTCTGGTTGAGAACTCCTGGTCATGGAAAATGGCCAAGTATGAGCCCAGAAGCAGAGGGAAGGGCCAGATTCTTTGATCCACTGACGCATTTAAAACAGAGAGGCACTTCCAGAGACCGGCAGAAACAGATGTGAGTTGTGGTAGAAATGGACAGCACTTCTATTAGGTGATTTGGTCTTGAAGAGATATAGGAGAATCCCTAGACTTCAGAAAGCCCATTAGACTCAAGGAGTTTTCTATACTAAGAACCCTCTTCCCCCTGGTGACTTTTCTCATGGGCATTTGTCTGGCCTTCTCAAAGATGAGAAGCTCCCCAACCCCTTCGGGCTTGAGATTGTGGGAAGAAGCCCCTGCACACTCCTTATCCCTGAAAGGATGCTTTACAAGCAGCTATGCTTGCTTTACTCTGTCTGAAGAGACCAGGAAAAAATAAGCATTTGTTCTTGAGAGGTTTTCATTTGGGCAAGCCAAGCTAAAGAGGAGGAAACCTTGTGCTGAGTGCCCCGCCAGCCCCCTCCCTACCCAGGCTTAACTATTTGCCCTTAAGCATTCTTTGAGAAGTCAACTTTAGGTATTCTGGAAGGTGGGCAGGTGTTCTGCCCCACAGTGCGATTAAAGGTGGGGAAGGTGATCTGTCACTGCAAATCCTGGCTTCTGTTATTTAGAGTGTGGTGTACTGAAAAGCTAGAAAAACTCCGGGGAAATCTGTATTCACGTGCAAGCTTGTTCTGACAGCCCTGACCTAAGACTCTCCAGGGCAATTCAGGACCTGATGTCATGGATTTTCTCTTGATACACAGCTGGGAACCAGATTCTTCAGCAGTTTCAACTGTCTCAGTGGGTGTGTCTGTGCTTTAGAGTTACATTCTGCCTGAGTAGACCAGTGTGAGTGCTTTATTTTCTATTATTTTAATTGAGAGTACTGATTAAACTGGATATGTCACCTCCATAGGTCAGCATTTTTATTTTTTTGGCATAAGGTGAAGAATAGGTCACTCTCTGAGGAGGAAACAGCTCTTCCCAGCATTAATAAAAGAAGGGAATTATCTCATCAATTAGGTATGTAAGTAAGTTAGAATGTTGGAAATGTTGTTGTGAGGGTGACTGGTGTTCTAAGTAGAGTTCTTCCTAGAAAGTTGGAGTGAGATGAACTGTGTGTGCTTCTCTTTGTTGGACACACACTGTTATACTGTCCTTCCTAAACCCCAATTAGCTGATGGGACATTGCAGTTAAAAACTGTCAGGATGAAGGGTGGCTGCAGGTTTTGAGGGCAGCACTAAGGTGATGCTGATTGCAGTTCACTAGTGACAGGTCTTTTGGGGATCAATAAAGAATCGTTCCAGAAAATACAGGAATGGCCCCTAGGGAACAAAAGGCTTGGCAGTTTGTCTTCCTAATTTAACAAGGCTGATTTGATAGCCCATGAGCTGCCATCCACCAGGTAAGGCCTTCATTCCTCACATTCTTGAGCTCCTATATGTGATAAGATCTGAAAAAACACCAGGAAGGATTGCAGCTCTGACTAGCACATTGGTGCATTAGAGAAGAGAAAAGGAGGTATTCCCAGGCACAAGGCCCATCATGAGTGTGCCACCATTTCTCGAGGCCAGTGTACATGAGTTATGTCATTCAACTGATACCAAATTCATAAGGTTTATACAGAGTAAATATCCTCCCATAGATTTACTTTCTCAATATTGTAAATAGGCCTTGATGGTTGTAGAATCTGTGACTTATGTGTTACAGGAACTGGGAGTCATATATTTTCCCAGGGCATTTATTTTCCCTGCCCTTGAAAACCATCTTTCCTGCAGACTAAAAAACCATCTTTCCAACTTTCATATACTCTCCAGATTTGTTTTGTGAGAGCTGACTTCCCACTCTTTATGCTGGTCAAAAACTTCATACAGTAATTAAGTTTTAAGTTTTGTAGAGTCTTCATCCTTTCTTCTTGACCATTCTCTCATTAATACATATGTGTTAGCAGAAAAGCAGGGGAAGGATCTGGGATAGAGATAAACCCTTCCAGGTCATGTCCCCAATAAGCTACCTCAAACCAGGCCCACCTTCTAATAGCAGGTTAGCTGTAGCACCCCATAATCCAGTCACTTCCCTCCAGCCATGCCTCTGAGTGAAAGAGGCTTTGAGGGAACATTCCAAAATCTAAAGTACAACATATAAATACAGGGGTACCTCAGTTGAAAAACTTAAGTCTTTCCACTATTCTGGTTGCAAAGCAAATTGGACAAGAACCGAATCAAATTTCCCCATTAGGTCAAGGTTGAACCTAGCCATTGAATTTGATTTGGTTCTCATCCAATACGGATTGCAACGAGAATAGTGGAAAGAATTAAGATCATGAACCGGCACGCCCTACCGAGGTCCCGAGTCACGCGGAAGATGCCGAATCACCCCGCTACAGACAGGCAGGTCTGTACACGCCCTACCGAGGTCCTGAGTCACACGGAAGATGCCGAATCATCCTGCTGCAGACAGGCAGGTCTGCCCACACCCTACCGAGGTCCCCAGTCCCGCAGAACACGCCAAATCAGCCCGCTGCAGACAGGCAGGTCTGTGCACGCATTACCGAGGTCCCCAGTCCTACAGAACACACCAAATCATCCCGCTGCAGACAGGCAGCCACTGGTTCCACACTACAAAGACACAGAGGACACCAGACCACCAGACCAAGGTACTGAATCCCGCTGCTCCTGGCCCAGAGGTAGAGGCTTCTGAGCCACCATCCCACTGCTCCTGATCCAGAAGAAGGGGCTTCCCAGACATCATCCCTCCCGCTGCTCCCAGCCCACAGGAAAGGGCTTTTGGACCACCTTCTGTCCCGCTGCTCCTGGCCCAGAGGAAGGGGCTTCTGGGCCACCATACCTCCCACCACTCCTGGCCCAGAGGGAGGGGCTTCTGAGCCACCATCCCACTGCTCCTGGTCCAGAGGAAGGGGCTTCCCGACCACCATCCTTCCTGCTGCTCCCAGCCCACAAGAAAGGGCTTTTGGGTCACCATCCCTACCGCTGCTCCTGGCCCCTGTCCCACCTCTCCCAGCTCAGAGGAGGTAATCCGTGCAGGCACTAACAGTCCCCCGCCC